TGGACATCACAGCAGGGTTAAGAGCTTTGAGACTGCAGCTCACTGGACATCACAGCAGGGTTAAGAGCTTTGAGACTGTAGATCTGTAGCTCACTGGACTGGACATTACAACAGGGTTATGGGCTCTGAGACTGTAGATCTTTGGTTGGCCCCTGATCGAAAGGGGCACAGGCAGACTCACCTGGCAGGCGTCCTTTCCTCCCTCTGTGTACCCAGCGCACAGCATGTCTGATTGGATTCTGTAGCGGTTCTTGTAGATGTCCTGACAACGCTTGTTCTCTATGATGGACAGCAGGACTTTCTGTAGTGTGCCAGGAAAAGGCAGTCTGACTGGGGGCACAGAAAGAGAGAGTAGATACTGTCAAACATTTACGCCCTCCCTGAGATGAGCAACACAAGACAGTTCCTCTTCCTGGCTCTCTCTGGAACTCAGGTGAGCCAAGCTAAGGCAGCCTGGGGACACACTGCTGCTGGGACAGCTCTGAGCTGCCTCTGAGTGGGCTGACCTTCAGGCCAGATCAGTGTTATCCTACACCAGGTGCTGAGGGGGCACAGAGTCAGCCCACAGCCCTTGACATCAAGTACAAACCCAGTCTTGTCCTCCTCCACCCCAGCCTTCAGAAAGACAGACATTGTCTCTTACCTCCGTTGTCAATGTCCCCCCAGCCTGTACCCCAGCACTCCCATTTGACAGTGAAGCGGTCAGAGCTCTGCCCCAGGATCACAGGCTGGATGTACGCGTTGCCACTTGTTGACACTGGCCTGTCCAGCTCCACCAGGGCGACATCAGACCCTTGAAGGACGCTGTGGGTTTTCTGGAAGTTCTTATGTATGATAAAGTTCTTCATCCGGCGTGTCACATTGTGTTTATTAGATATGTCCAGCTTGTACAGTCCCAGGACCACCTCAGATTCCCACCACTTAAAGGCACTGAGAAGAAAAGCTGCTGGTTATTATTATTAATACTGCAGATTTGATACTAATAGTGACAGGGTTATCACTATTAAATGAGGAGCTTTCATGTACGTCTTTCTCTTTCCAGAAGGCAGAGAGATTAACAGCTTTCATCATCTAAACTCTAAACTGTTCTGCCCATACTCACTCTTCCAGGCAGTGTGCAGCTGTAAGAACCCAGTGATTACTGATCAGAGAGCCGCCACATTTAAAATACTCTCCAGGTCTTCCATTGACAGGAATGATCTTGAGATAAGCCATCCAGGGCCACTCTCCCTCTGATGCATTCTGACCACCCACTATAGAGCTCCTGGACAGAGGAGAGCTGGACACTGGAGAGACACAGAGGGATTCATACAGAACAGGCTTGAGATCAGTCATCCAGGACCACTGTCCCTCCTTCACACCCTGACTGACCACTACAGAGCTCCTGGACAGAGGGGAGCTAGACACTGGAGAGACACAGAGGAGAGTCAGTAACTTGGAGGGGAGAACTGCTGAAAGGATCAGCTGTCTGAAGTGTGGACTAATAGTAGAGAAAAGAAAAATATATCCTAAATAGTCACATTTATGGCATCTTGAATTGTGAAATTCTGTAGCTATGAGGACACAGATAATATGAAGTAGAGACAACAGGTTTCAAGTGTCAACTTATACAGATCAAAAGAAGACAAGAGATCATTTACCAGTGCTGGGTTAAGCATACAGGGCCAAACATTTAAAACGGAAAATGTCTTTACACAGAGGGGGGTGAGGGTTTGGAACAAGCTGCCCATCCACATTGTAGAAGCCATATACCCTGACTTCTCCCAACACACAGCTGGATGAGACACCAGTCAGAACAGTAGGCTTGTCTTTACACACAGGGTGGATGGGGTGTGGAACAAGCTGCCCAGCTGTGTTGTTGAAAAGCTGAAGCTCTTCTTTACACACAGAAATTAGGCCACAGCATCAGCTACACAGGCCAGATGAGCAGAATACTAATTATTCAGCCATTAATTTTAAAGACAAATTGGTTGTTTTAATAATGATGGATTATTTTAAGAAAATAGTATAATTGATCATGATATATTATTTCTGTTAACGATATATCATATCTGATCATTATATATATTATAGGTGGGTAGCTGCGTCAGCATGCGTAGGCTGCAAAGGAACAAGTAATAGGTTTATTCCATGCTGAAAAAAAGAAGA